CGGGTATCGAATGTTCGCAGAAACCTGTTGGACCACGTTGAGTTACGCGCAAAATCCCAGAAGCCGAATCGCTCAGATGGAGGTTTAGCCACATATGCGGTACGGTGAATACAATAATAAAATAAAAAAACTTTACAAACCTCAAATCACGCGTGTAGGCCGACTTCCATAGACCGGCTTAAGACCTGCTAATTCTCAACGACTCCCGGAGTCCACATCGTCTCATTGCCGCGTGTTGACAACATAGCGAAACTACGTGCTGACTTAAACAGCAAGTCCGACGACAGAGTAAAGAACGGTTAATGTTCATGTAAAAAACAAAAACAAAATAAAAAATGGAGATACTTCTCAAGCTTGTCGGTCGCATTACCCGTGGCCATAACCAACTGATACCTTTCAATCTTATGTTCATACGTCGACATATTAAGGCTTAAGGAATTTGAAAAAATTTAAACAATCAGGCCACAATATCAGACTAAATTATGCGGTCTATTCGACTAGAAAATGACCACTGACATAAGCATTTGCAAGATAAATTACATTTGTAAGCCTTATCATGGCACATTCACGGCTCAACAGAAGTCTAGAAAAATTGTTTAATAAGCTGGTCATGACTGAACCCATTGCTGTGATGATGTAAAATTTCGACAAACATAGTAGCCAGTGGCAAGGATGCCCACTCTAAGAACTACTGCGGTTACTCCAGATTTGGACGGTTAGAAGAGTGCCTGTACAGACAGGTCAGCACATATCTCTACTTCATCAGAGTCACGCAATTTTTTTGGCTCTGTCCACCAAACCGTGTGTCCGCTTTCAACCACGGTTTTTAATTTCGGCTAAGATTAGTTGGTCCTTCATTGCTGGAGTACTTATGTCTATCGGGCCTCCTTGCTGTCGAGTTTTTACCACAGCCAACAATTATTTACCACCTAATAGGGCATGCTCCTTTAGCTTTGCCTCCCTGCCCATTGTGTTGTTGCCTGTCTTTGAATTCCCATGATCGGACTCTTCCTTAGCTAGTGTGTTGCACATAGGTCGCTATACATACAGTTGAGAGTGTTAGCCGGGTACTATTACTGACAGACGTCAGTGGTTCCGCCATGTACACACTGTCAGTCTACAAAATCCGTTCTGGCTTGGGAACTCCAGAGGGAGTCGCGTGGTGTTTGTAATAGATGATACAACGGCACCCCCAGTAATCGTCCCTCGGGTATCGAATGTTCGCAGAAACCTGTTGGACCACGTTGAGTTACGCGCAAAATCCCAGAAGCCGAATCGCTCAGATGGAGGTTTAGCCACATATGCGGTACGGTGAATACAATAATAAAATAAAAAAACTTTACAAACCTCAAATCACGCGTGTAGGCCGACTTCCATAGACCGGCTTAAGACCTGCTAATTCTCAACGACTCCCGGAGTCCACATCGTCTCATTGCCGCGTGTTGACAACATAGCGAAACTACGTGCTGACTTAAACAGCAAGTCCGACGACAGAGTAAAGAACGGTTAATGTTCATGTAAAAAACAAAAACAAAATAAAAAATGGAGATTCTTGTTACACAAAATAAAAATAGAAGACAGGGATCAACTATGGGGTCGGTGGATACCTTCGTATCCAGGAAAAAACCTCCCTGTACGAATGTCAATCCTGGACCATGCTCACGTTAGAATACCGGGCCTTGACGAGCGATAATAGCTGTATTCCGGTCAATAGGGAGTGTACGTTAAACAGCATTGTCCGCGGACCCAATGGCGGCCAATGGTGCAAAATAGGGAGTTGACTACCCCACATGGAGTGGGCAATAATGGAATGCGTACAAAAGAGTTAAGACCAGAAAAAGCATAGTCTTTTGATAGTGTGATTTGGGTCGGTCGGCCTGCAGCAATGGGGGATGGGGGTGAACGTTGTAGGAGGTAGCTCGAGAACTATTACTGGAGGTGCCGTATGGGACTCAGCAATTAGTAACAAATATTCCTGACAGGCGGTAATGTGGGCGAATGTAGACCTGCCAACTAAGCAGTCTTGCGTGTTGTGGGTGCTAGGAATTGTGAAATGAGAGGAAATGATTCTGGAAGATTATTCGGATGTGGAATTTGGTGTTCTCCAAAAAGGGAGATGGGACGACAATTTTGCTAGCGAACAAGGACGTGGAAAATGAAGGAGTTTAAAGAGAACCGCTGCGGAGGGGGTCTTTCATAAATACGAGCAAATATTTTGGCGCACGCAACGCAAGGGGAGTGGATAGAAATCGAGTCATTCAACAGTAGATGACAATCATGTTCCGGGGTTTAGTGGAAATCGGGGTGCCACACAGCTAGGCCTTAAGAAGCGTTTGAGTTCGGAGATTCGTTTTGGCAGAGCTGAACATAGAGGTATATTAGGTCAGTGGGTATGCGTCAAGAAAGTGTGCCAGCGCATACTGGCACCCCGGATAGGGAAGCCGCCACCTCACTTATACCTTCAAAGCATTCTTTTAAAGCAGAGGGACATTCAAGTTTCTCGCAAGTAGCAGGGCGAAAATAATGAGTAATTTGGCGTGGCTGTTTTGCTGGAAGCACTGCCATAGCACAAAGAACACGAAGACACTACTTGAACTCCGCCGTTGGTACTGACGGTCGAGAGTGCACCAGTACGTACGGTTTGAAAGGGATATCAGTGATTTTGTCTTTGTTTGCGGCTTGGGCCAAAACAATGAGTGAAGAACTACAGGTGCATAAGGATTGAATAATTGGTTTGAGTTGGAACTGGAAGGTAGACCTGGCATTGTGTTGGAGTAAGACAGGACAGACACCAGCGTGCCACCGCGTCGGAGTGTCCAACCACGGTAGTTTTGTGTGAAGATTCCACAAGAGCTGCAATCATCAATGGCCAGGAAGAGTTTGATATGACTACATGAGAAACCTGATTTCTGAGTAGATTGCGTAATTTAAGGTTGAAATGTGATTACCGGATCGTGATTTTGCACGCAACAGTGAACTTTCGGTTCTGTCTGGTATCGTAACCTTGGTCGCACTAGAAGCTCGGGAGTATGTTGCGCATGAAAATTGGCCTGCGTATAATATGAGGGAAGGAGGGTTGCTTTGGAAGACTTTCAGTAGTCATTATTTTAAGCTAATTGGAATCTTTCTTAGTAAGCTGTCCTTGCAATTGAGTGCGCATAGCTTTTTGGCTGGCGGAAAACGGCCTGAGTTGCCAGCATACGTATGGTATGATTTTTGTCCTTGAGCTGCGTGAATATCAGACAACACACTGGCGGCTTTGACTTCTAGGGACATCAAGCCGCGCGCATGCCACATGCTGTCAGGATAGCAGATATCGCGGGCCTTATCAGGATCCGGTCGTGCGCACTATTTGTTAGAATCTGTTGAAAAACTTCTGCATGATCAGTGTCAGACGCGGGCGTATTTATAGGGGCCAACACTTGAAAAAGCTGATAGGCCACAAGCTTTACCAAGATGGGGAACGCAAGCAGCGGCTTATGTTCTTCGGGAGGAAGACAGGTGAAATGCACGCGAGATCTGGAGTTCGCCTGTTCTGTTTGGATCTGATCACCTCTAAGCAAGTAAGAGGGAAATTTTGCTTAGCAGTGCTGGGAAGGATATATCGGTGCTTGCCATCAGACAGTCTGGGAATGTCCGCAACGCTTCATCAGCTGGCCTCAATTAGGGGGCGGTTCTGAGCTGGGTCTGTTGGCTGAGGTATTTCTTTGGGTGGTACGAAGGAATGGATAATTAGAAGTTAATGTCCAACAGATGTATGGACTACATGGACGGCACTTCCCTGATGTGTGTGAGTGTGAATGTGTGAATGCTCCCCATGGAGCAGTGAGAAAGAGCAAATATTACACTTCCCCACTAGATTGGATCAGGAGGCTAGAGAGTTTGAGCAAGACTGTGGAAGCAAACTACCTGAAGAAAATGAGTCGAGGGAGACCCGAATATTCCCGGTGAGCTAGGGCAACTTCAAGGCGAGGTGAAAAAGGTCATGGAACCAAGGCGTCGGGCGCGCCGGAACTCGGGTCTTGGACGGATACTTAAGATTCCCGGAGGAATCTGTCTATGAATGCAGTAGCCGGTGCCCGAGTACACAAGTCTTGGGTTGTCAGGTTACAAGGGTTGTCGGAAACCATGATCATGGCATAATAACCGCTGTTATCAGTGGGCTTCGGGCGTGGGTATCAGGTGGAAAATGAGATACGTTTATATTATGCGACAGGCCTGGAGAGAATGATACTGGTGAGCCTCAGCGCCAAAGAATCCCCATTGAGTAGATGAGGGCAAGGCCCGGCTGAGCGCGTTTGCCGATAGAGAGTCCGAAATAAATAACTAATTATTATAAACAATCTGCCTGGTATTTGAATCAGGATATATTTCCCGAATTCTAGAATTCCCCCTGCAAGATGCAATTTCTTATCCGCATTTTGTCGCTTGCATGGTTTCGCTTTGCCCCATTGGAAACCATTTGCGGAGTTATTGCTTGTAACTTGTCAGTTCCGTCAAACGTTCCACGGGCGTGAATATCCTTGAGGACCATAAAAACTAAAAAAATGCCTTGCTTCAACTAATCAAATTTGTTGCATTTTAACGTGGTTTGTTTCGCCGAATAATACTGAAGAATCCCGCAAATCAGGGGTTCAGTTTTTATCTGGCGATTCCGAATAAGGTATGACCCAACCGGCTACAGACAAGTAGCGTCCATGCTACGACAGTCAGAAGTGGGCCAATTGAGACCGAGCCATTTGAGTTCAGCGCTTCTCACCCAAATTCACACTAACTCCTCCATGACCATGTTATGGATTCTCTGAGTGTTGCATAGATGCGAAGGTCTCGATTTTGACTCGTCCCACCAAAGCCTGTAACTTGTAGGGTGCGAGGGTGTAGGAGTTGTGCTGAGTGAAGTCGTTCAAAGGAGCGCTTGAACTCAACATGTCATCACTAACGGAACACACTTCCGCACAATAATTAAACAAGATGGAACCCAAAAATTCATAAGGACTTACTTGGCAATCTGATGGGCGGCGGATAGCGTTCGATCACGCAACCTCTGAATAGTGCCTCTACGTAAATCATTAAGCTTCTCTATTGACGCGGAAACAGCATCTAAAGTTGCCGAACCATAGGTTTTTTCAACAAAAAGTCGGATAGGTCTTTTCAACTCTACATCTGCGGAGGACCGACATGGGACACCAACGAATGCCATTGAAAAGAAAGTCAGCAGTGGACTCAAAGTGCAGTCGCAGGTTAGCAAGAGTCTCAGTGCTATGATTGGTTGTTTCACGGATTCAAGGATTGGTTCACAGGAACGAGGCGTTCGCCCAAGCTTCCGGTGCCGGGTTTGCTCCCGTCGTTCAACGGCCTCCGTTCACCTGGAAGACACAAGCAAGAAAGGGTCAACGCCGCTCTTTGAATTCTCAGAATGAGGAGGAAAACTTGACAGCACGAGGGCTCACATCAGCGTTGAACAGTGGTTTGAACTTGGTTCCAGATGCCGCGTGATCAACATTCGGTGCAGAGTTATGCCATGAACCAATTGTCCGACGTTGGAAATATTTTCACCTTGAAAACCTCGCCATTTCTCCGCCATGCACCAGCCGGTTTAGCGGTAAAAACCCTGTTGTTCAAAACTTGTTGAAGCAGGTTGGCGATACTCCAGGGGAAAGGATACTCGCACCTCATAGTCTGCCGTCCGATGAGGTTATGGATTCTGAGCGTTAGAGTGTGGGACCAGCTTCAGTAGAAGAATTATATATATTACCGTTGCCCAGAAATTTCACAAGGCTGACGCGATGTTCGTCCCAAAAAACCAGCACGCAGTCGGATGAGCCGCATGCTGCCTAAAAGGGTTCGGCGACTTCTGGAAAAGAGGTCTCAACTTTTTCAAAAAGTCGACTACAGGAGATATAGAAGATGGGCTGGCATTTCGTTAAATATGTAACCGCAGTTAATCAGAAATCCGACAATGGGACGTACCAAAACAAGCCACCATTATGGACTTCGCTCGGAAATACAAAAATGTACTGTTCAAATACATGAGACATCGCTGCAGAAACAAGCCATCCGCGTTCTTCTTGAGGGACAGGAACGGAGAACCAACGAGTGACCCAACAATGGTATCTGAGACTTACATAGAACACTATGCAGCCCCAGCGTCCTCGCCACATCCGCTCTTGTCAAGGCGTAACTACGAACAGCCTCTAACCGACCTGGTCTTCACGGCGAAGGACATTCGTCAACTTTTACACAAAATCAATCTATTTTTGCGCGTTGGGGCCCGACGAGGTCCATCCAAGGATCCTGAAGGAAACGCCGTCTACACTGGCAAATCATTTATACCTGGTGTTTCATCTGTCGCTTGACGAAGGCCGCCTTCCCTCTACTTGGAAGGAAGCCATTGTCGATCTGCTCTGCAAAACTGGTGACCGACTATCGCCTGGAAGCTACAGGCCTATAAGCCTCACTAGCGTGCCGTGCAAGGTGATGGAACGCATTCTGAGGTGAGCTATCCTAGATCACTTCACTTCCAGCAATGTGATATCCCCAGCTCAACACGGATTTCTCCCAAACCGTTCTTGCGTGACAAACATGCTCGTGTTTATGTACAGCATAACCCAAGCCAAGGACGAAGGACTCATATCGGATGCCATATTTCTCGACTTCTCAAAAGCATTGGAGTCACACACATCCCGCTACTCCACAAACTCGAGTTTTACGGGATTCAAGGGAAAATCCTTCACTGGATCAAGGCGTTCCTTTCAAACAGATCATTCCAAGTGAGAGTAGGCTCGACTTACTCTTCTCCAGCCGGTCTCCATTGGAGTTCTTCAAGGCTCCGTCCTGGGACCACTGCTGTTTCTGATATGCGTCAACGACCCTCCAGATGTTCTTTCAAGTCCATGTCTACTTTTTGCGGACGACTTGAAATCCTGGATTTCCAATGCCGGTGCCCTCCAAATGGATGTGGATTCTGCAAAGCAGTGGTCGTTGGACTGGCACCTTCCTCTGAATGACGAAAAGTGCGTCCATATGTCATTTGGAGGAGACCCAGCATGCCTTTGTCATGCATGGTGATAAAGGACCAGAAGACATCATGAGGACAGACGCCAAAAAGGATTTGGGTATCTGGGTCTCCTCAAACTTGCCTTCTCACTGCACCATAAGAAATCGGCCCAAAAGACATTCGCCATTTTACGGATGATTCGACACACTTTCTCCCCTATTACTCGCATTGACTTCCAGATGCTCTATGGGGCCTACGTCAGACCGCTCCTAGAATACGCCAGCCAAATTGTCTACTCAGGACCCACGAAAGACGTCACCCTCATTCAGCATGTCCAGCGAGTCGCTACGAAAATGGTTGCCGGCCTCAAATCCGTGGACTACGATACCCGTCTCGCGATGCTTGATCTCTCGGAGTGAGTATCCTCGCCTCCGAGGGGACCTAATTCTTACTTATGCCCTGTTTGAACAAACATTTGCCAACAGGTTTTTCACGGTTGACCCAGCAAACACACGACGGTGAGAAGATTTTCAAGCTCAGCGCACACACATTTATTCGGCAAAAATTCTTTCTCATTTCGGGTAGTAGCTGCGTGGGATGACCTCCGACGATTGTCCACGCTCCTTCCAGAATGCAGTTCAAAGCACTATTAGGCATTTATTTATGCGAATCTTCGCACTGGCAAGCATACTGCCCCGCGCTGAGAGCATAAAGAGCAGTGCCACACCCTTTTTCACCTGCGCCTTTCAGGTGAACGACAGCGGCTGAACGACAAGAACAAAACCGACCCGGGAAGCTTGGACAAAAGCCTCGATCCTGTGTATCAATCCGTGAATCCGTACATACTCACGGCTGTCTCGTACCGTTCAACCAGTTTGTTGAGTATTTAAGGCTATTTCTTTGAAAAAGGGGAGATAACTTAGGAATTTCTTGGCGCCGACTCACTCCAGGTATTCTGGGGTATCTTCCTCAGCCGCTCAGTCTAAATAAACGGACAAAACGAACGCCCCTGACGGTTAGCCACCGTTCATTGCGACGTCTCCAGGTCAAGGGTATCCACCCTGAAAAGTGGACCTGGCTTATAACAACCAATCTCCGTGTGATGTATTCTATGCTATGCTCCCAGTCGCATGTTGTACACATCGCATTTTTTCGCCTTTTTTGAGGAGACAGCAACAGTCACCACGATAGACACAGAACGCGTAGCAAATGGATGAGTCCCTGAGGTTGAATGTTTAGTGTTTTCCGCAACTAAATTGCCTGCTGCCCATTCAAACCTACCGTCGAATTAACTTAGTGCGAATTCGTTGACAGCATCCGACACCACCAAGTACTTCGACGGAGCTGTGAGACCTGAAGACACCTCGGATCACGTGCCTGCTGTTTCCCGCCCTTGCACTAACATAGACAGCATTGCAGTGGATACGCATGATCCTTGAGACTCTGATGTCTTTCTGAGTATACAGTTGATGCAGAATGGCAAAGATACTCTTCAAGACCAAACACTCCCTTCAAGCGAAATTCTACTGGATTTCGATCGGCATTTTCGTGGACTGCCCATTTTGTAGCATGGATGTACTTGATAGGCTGGAAATGCATGTCGAGATCTTGTTTAGTGGTTGTTGGTTTATTCCACAGTGCTTGTGTTCTCTTATATTTGCAGGAGCTCAAGGCAGCTCAGTAGTTAAGGCGCGAACCTACTGACTGGTAAATCATCATTGTGAGCTGTAATGACCGCGTAGTTGTACGGTAATAGTAGCTGCTACAGTTTCGTTCACCGATGATTCGGTTCGAACCTAAACTTCGCATCACGACTACTTCAACCAAGTTTGGGCAATCTGACAGTATCTCAGCCCCCGCGGGATTCCTTCAGGTGGCATGGCAGCTAGGCACAGAAAGTGTGTTACAACAGAGATTGACTTCATATCGACAGGGTTCTCACTAGTGACGAATTGATGACGGTTTTGAAGATTCCGAAGCATTCGCCTCGTTGTTTCGTCCACGCGGTGGACATCTTTACCGGGAAGCGCGTTTTTTATAACTTGTGCAAGGGTTCGCGTGCACCCAGAGGTATTTGGATATAAGGACTGGATTATAGGGGTCAGGGGGAGGAATGACTCAGTGGTTGGAGTACGAATTTCCTGACCGTAGATCCGTGGTTTAAACCCGATGGGACGTTTAGAATGCGTCCGAAAACTTATTAGAAGAGTCCGAATTATCGAGGATAAACAGGGTTTTTACTTGTATAGGAACGAGCGTGGACGAGCTGAGATATACATACAAAGATTCAATACTAATATATGGGGTAATTATGATAATGAGCAGACAGCAATCATGACACCCGACCTCTGCATATCGACCTCCCCTGCCTGGGCTTGGGCAATATCACACCCCTCTTGCTTCTTTCGGTTGGCATGGCAGTTAGATACCGAAAGGGTACTACAGCTGAACGGTTTCTTACGCGAGTCAGATTGTTTGCCTAAGCCGCTGCGAGTGACCTTCCTGTGGATGTTATCTATGAACTCCAGCTCGAGATAGCCCAGGGGTTAAGGCGCGAAATCACTGACCGTAAGTTCGAATGTCCCGCCGCCACAACGCCACAAGGTATACGTAGAACTTACCCAGCTTGCTATACCTCGCCATACTGAGAAGTATCGGTTCGATGCTCACAGTTTCATAACAGGTTGGTCGTTGACTAGACGTCTAACCGGCGTCTCCCGATCCTCCAAGCTGGGGACCGGAACATCTATGGCCACTTGTTCTCTGAAAACGGATATACTGGCGCTTACTTCCATATACCACTACCCGCGGTAAGGCTTTTGAGTTAAAGGCTGGTTGAAAGCCTCAGTCATCCTTCATTCTCGGTTTGGGTGCTCTGGCAATATACCAGCCCGCTTACAACCATGATTCCTTCAAATAAAATGCTGTCATTCCATATCGACCGTTGTCTGGTGTCATCAGTCATGCCACTGCTGCATACCACAAGGCGGGTAAGCGCAAACAGACTATTGATATCACATTTATTTCTCTTACATCCTTCTCCCCCTCTCACTTCAATACTGACACTATTTGGGCTCATCCATTAGGAATAACGGCTCCACTCTTCGTGCGCTGGTCCAGCCGCAAAATCTGCCGATCAGTCTGCTCCTTCATCATAATAATCACCGCCATTATAAAAAACCTAACTTAAGTGTTCAACATTGATGTTTCGCTGCCCTACGGCCATGATTCATCGGAAAGCCTTATTGCGAAGAAAATGGACGGGGAAGGGGCTTAGTGCTAGCCTCCCACAATAATCCCGAGGCGCCTACACCTCCGGACACTCATTCAGGCAGTTTGGAGAGAAATTGACAAGAACGCCACTGACATAGATAAGTAGGCATATCATGCAGCGCAGTGGGAATCACGCAACCGCCATCTTGGAAGGCGGTCACATAAGCAGTACCCTGACTTATTGTCATTTTCATATTCCTCTTCCAGGTTAAAGGTAGGTCACCACTCTACCTCGTCCACACTGAATTGGGCACAGAAAACAGTACCCTAAAAACAATAGTTTGGCGTGCGCGATACAAAGCATCATCATCATCATCGACAGCATGACATCAGTGTTCAACACCGATGCTTCACTGCCGTGCAACCATGACTTATTTGGAAGCCTTATTGTAAAGATAAGAATAAAGGTGGACGGGGAAGGGACTTAGTGCTAGCTTAACACAATCATTCCGAGGTGCTTACACCTCCAGACATTCACTCAGGCAATCTGGATAGAAACTGACAACAATAACGCCACTGACATCGGTTGGCAGCCATACCTTGTAGTGTCTCCAACCAGGCACAGTGAGGATCACG